GTTTTTAATAAACAGACTGTCATATCTCGTTCAGCCAATAAGTTTACATAGTTTAGTCACGTGATGAAATTTTATAAAATCTAAATTTGCTAAATTGTAAAAAGCCCGAAATCTGCTTATCTTTTTTTTTTCAAATGGAGCACGTGACACGTAAACTCAACATGAATTTCATTAATTATGAATGGAATCATTTATGAAAGTGTGCATTAGAAATTGAAAATAAACATACAACTGGCATATCACTCCGACCGCTTATAGTGTCGGTGGTTGCTTGGGAAGTCTTCATTTATCCGTCTTATACGTATTTGTTTTTAATTCAGTTTTTGCCAAAGCCTCAACTGGATGAAGATAGACGAAGGAGAGTTTTGAAGATTGTTTGTGTCTACTGTATACGAACACCTTCGGTCATTGTATTAATATACAAATGTACACGAATGTAAACAGGGAACGCTTATTGTTTTTGTTTATGTGCTGCAGTGGTGAAGGTGTGTTGCAGGAATGTAGTCTTTGCGCAGAAGTAGACCAACAATCATAATTTTAGTGCCTATAAGTACTCGGACATAAATGAAGCTCTTCTTTGTACGATTTAACTGTCGCATTTCGGTTTCCTAAATACACTGCGATACACTTGAAGAGTTAGTTCTGTCTGGTTTTGAAAGCCAGAATATGATATATCGGTTTAAGATATCGTACACATACCGCAATCGTTAAAACTGAAATTGATGAAGCTCTCTTTCAAGACCTAACCTGTTGTTACACCATTCAAGACATTGCGAACCATAAAAGACTAATAGAGCTCAACGCACCGTAACGATCCCGGTAGCAAATTGTAAGAAGCTTTGGTGCAACGTAATTAAAACGTAACGAAACGGCTTTCGAAGCGCAACTTCATAAAATACCTAAAATACCTAGGTGAAGCGGATTTTAAATGATTTCTGTGTAAGTGTAAAAACTTATCAATGTCAAAGTATGAGTTACGAAGTTATTTTGAATTGCGTGAGGTGAAGTCATATTCGTTGGGCCCGTTATCAGTGTATAAATAACTTGAAACAAGAGTTTATAATAAAGTACGATATGGTTTAGAAATTAGTGCAAGAAATACACTAAATGAAGCACATGCCTTCTTTAGAACCAATTATATGAGTCGACCTGCAATATTTAGAAATGCTTCAAACTTTTCTGAAATAGCAATTAGGCTGACCAAGACAGGATTGACAGTCCTAATTATGGAATCACACATCAATCATCCCGAAGGACCAGAAAAAATATAGTACAATGTGGACAAGAAGAAAGTAACAAAGGCATATCACATGCGATGTCATTTGAAATTTACTATTCAAGGAAAATGTTAATAAGAGGATTGCTCACAAACATGTTCCTGACCTCGTTTTATGAAGGTATTTTAAAAATTGTCAGATGTTTGTTTATCACATACCTTAGTTTAAGCAAAACAAAACATATAACTTTATTTTCATTTATGATCAGATTCTGAGGCTTATTATAGAAAATGTTATCGTTATATAACACGGGAGTAACATTATAAAAACCTAATGGTTAAATACCAGTAACATAGAAAAGAAGAAGAGTCATTTGATAAATATCTACACTGCACGTAACAATATTCATGTCAGTTAATTAATATGTCGTTTTTAATATATTTTGACGAATTTAGGATTTTTTGTTGGTAATTTAAAGAAAATGATATGTGTAACGTTCATCTCATTCCTTAGAAATATTCTGTTTTCTATTTTTTGGCGTTGGAAGAATTAAGTAAAATTGAAAAATGGTTAACATTATACATGATATGCTTGGTGATGTATTTGAAGTCGAATAATTTTAAGCACACTTATCACTGTTTCACTCCGTATCCTAATTCACTGCCTCCGGTAGAAATTAGTTCCTCACTTTGTTTAATGGCTGCAGTAAAATTCCATGGAAGTTACGTTTTCAATAAAAGAAATCGGCATTGTACGCCCTAAACATCACTTACTACAATGAATATAACAGGATGTCAATGACAAAGATTGAGTTCTTTTTATCACTTGACGTCATACAATATAATTATATTATGTAGTATTTATAAAAACTGGAGATACATGTATACTGAAAAGTGCACGTAGTATTAATGCAACATGGGTTTATGCTGAAAAATACATGTAATATTTATGCAACCTGGCGCTATACTGAAAATAATGTATGTAGTATTTAAACAACATATAGGGATATACTGAAAAATGCTTGTAGTATTTTTACAATCTGGCGATATACTGAAACAATACACTAGTATGTAGCATTTTTAAAACATGTTTATATGCTCAAATATTCATGTAGTATCCAGACAACACTCGGGATAATCAGAAATATTCATGTGGTATAAAATTCAAACAACATGGGGATATATATATTTTTAACGTCTAAATTGAATTCTACATGTAGTAACTTGTGGCAAACTGAAATACCTATGAAATATATTTACACATTAATTTTGATTATCATGTACAGGTTGTGCCAAAGTTTACAGTTTTGTAATTAGGTAACTACGTGAATAAAACTTAAAGTGTACATCTGATGACTTTGACTTGTCGAACAACAAGCGTTTATTTAATGAATACAATAATAGTTTTGTTTAAAGTGTCTTTTTACAAACATACGAAGCAAATTTGCTAGGATAAACAACAACTTGTCAGAGGCGAAGCCATGTTCTTCGTTATTATAGTCCTACACATTTGAACGCGAACCATATTTATTTTTATTTGCTATTAAATATTAATCTCTCGAGGCACAGGGTATCTTTAAGACTTTAAGATAATGATTATAAGATATCAGATCTGTGAAACGGACGAACAGCCTACAAAATTCTATCAATGTCATAGTGATACAATGTTCATTTATTTTATATACATAGTTTTTATTAATACAAATCTAAATGTTATCAATATTTATTAGGATACTCATCACAATATGTCTAGAAATTTGGATTCGATGTAAGTCATTCAAAGGGCCTTCCAAAAATGAAGACTACTTTATTTTGTATGGTTTAACAGCGCACAACACATTTAGGTCATATGGCGCCAGACAGGGAAGATGGTTTTGGCTTCTTCGGGAGTTAAACCTTATGGCATCACCGGGGTCAAAACTACCTTACCTGCTGGAAGTAAAAGATGCCTAGACTCCAGATATCTGAACCCATGAAGGCGCCTCTCACGATCACCCAGGGATAAACATCGGCTGCAATTCTGAGGCATCATCACTTAATGGAAATCCTCAGTCACAAGCGGCAAAGAAAACTAGGTCCTATTGCATTGAGAACATTTATAATGTATGTTGGCTATTATAATAGATGCTTCAAAAATAAGATCAGAATAGTTATCACAACGGCATGTTCTGTGTCCGTTGTATATAATGAACAAATATATTTAACTACCATGTTCGTTCATTATAATTATCATTGACGGGAAACAATTTGTTGTGCAGTGTAAATTGTGTTTGATTGTTGTACTTACTTAACTATATATTTATTTTGTTAAGGTATAGTAAATTAAAGTGACACAACCTTTTAGTTACCATAGTTCTTTCTTCCTAATTTAACACATAAGCAAACAAGTCTTATAAAATAACTTTCTATACTAACTTTATAACAATATAGAAGGGAGTCGGTGGCCAGTTGGTTAAGGTCATTGGCTTCAAACTACATGCCCTTCACTGCAGTAGGTACTCTAAAGGAACTTAGCATTCTTTCATGTGATGAAGCTATCTTTCGGAACGTCGGTGGTTCCACTCAGGTGCCCGTTCGTGTCAGAAAAAATGTCTGAAAAAATGCACCTGAGATCTTCTTCCTCCACCAGTAAAACTAGAAAAGTCACTAAATGACCTGCACTGTGTAGATGCGACGTAAACCCTAATCAAGAAATAGATAACAATACAAGCTGAAGACTCAGATAAAGACAATTACGATGAACGCTTGGTAGTATCGTTGTAGTTTGCTTAATCTGTACCGGATGATATTCAAATGCTAGATATCAAAATATGAAATCATCGTTTTCTTAATCATTTTGAAAAGCAAATTCGTAACCACTCTGTAACTCTTGCCTTAAAAAGTTGTAAGATATAAATTTATAAATGGATATAAGTGTTTATTTGCGTTACCATTAGACGAGCCTACATGTTAAAATCAAATTTCAAGCGTCGAATAAAGCCACCAATGTCACCAATGTTGTAAGAAGAATAACCAGTTGTGTTCTAGTAATAATGTCGAATAACATTTATTTATACTATAATTTTATATATTTTGCGTAAATAATTCGAAAGAAATGATGAAAACGATAAGGAAGAAAGTAAAATTGCAATCCATTAATTGAATGAAGACTCCCAATAAGATAATGAATAACAGTAGCATTCTACAATGCTATTTAGAAAGTAACGCAAATTTCTTCGGAAATTAATTGTAACTGTTAACACCTTCCATGCTTAAAATCTTAAATGGCAATAATTTAATTGGGATAAGATAATACCATTTACCATTTCAAAGGAAACTCTCAAAATACAAATGCATGTACTGTCTGAATTACGTACAAAGCATACCATGATTAGAATGAACGGGTAAGGCGACCGATCTTCGATGCACTTTCTCGCATAGGTATGTTTTGTAGTCACAAGTAGACTAAAGATTCAGATAAAAACTTTTAATAGCAAGAATTATCATAGTATTGCAAGCAATACATCCCTACTGTAAGAACCCTAGCAACATTCTGAGGGGTTATTGACCATTCAATAATGCAATTGAATGAATGAATGAATGAATGAATGAATGAATGAATGAATGAATGAATGAACTTAAATCTTTTGAGTTCTTACTTTGTCTGTATAATAGTAATGTGTTACGTTTTCCTACCTGTGAGAAAATTATGTTTGTACAACATATATAAATGATCGAATTTTCTCAGGATGAATATGTACATCTATTTTTTCAACTTTTTTCTATTTTAAGTAAATTTGTAGGAAAGTTGCCATGTCTTTAAAAGTAATCTCGGGAAACAGTTTGTCAGACATGGATAGTCATAAAGACAGACGACTTAAACATAAGAGCAGATAACTCTGGAAATAAAATGCTAGGCTTATGACCATTGTCAATCATGATGTGAGTGGTAACAAAGAACAATTATCTTTAGTCTAAAGTATATAACATCTGTAGTAGAGAAAAAAATACAATTTTCATATATATACAATTTTAAGTACCAAATAAGAAAATACAAAAAAGATATGTAACAATTTAAGTAAATTCTTAGTTCAAAATGTATTCATGGAAACGAGGCTGCTAGACTTAAAAATCTATTCAAATATGATGCAAGTGTTTATAGGACACATTATTTGAACTGAAGAAATACGATTTATAGAATAAAGAGGGAAAGAGGGAAGTTTACCGGGAAGATAATTCTGGAAATATGGACAGTAAATTTATAAATCTTGTCGTGGGAGTTTGACGTTTGAAGTAAATTCTGTAAGACAAAATAATATTTTCTAGAAAAAAAATCTACGTTCAAGGGGACATAATTTAGAAAATAGTCAAGCTAGAGTATTCAATCTTCTCCCACATGATTTGAGTGATAATAAGGAACATATATTGGAAGTTTAAAATAGATTAAATAATTATTTCATTTAATTTTGAGTTTGAAGATGACAATTCTGATAATATATGATGTAGAATTATAAACCTTGTTATGCATAATGTGGGTGGTGATAAGAAACATATATATCAAGTTTAGAGTACATATATGATGAAATAAAGAAGTAAATAAAAAATAAAATATTTTTCATGAAAATTCAATATTCAATGTGCTAACTCTAATAATTTTGGTGTAAGATTTGTGAACCTCGACATGTACAATCTCCATATTGCAATATGTCTCATAAAAATATTTTAGTACTTTTGAGTTGTCACACATATTGTTATATGTGCCATATTTTAAGACTTTATGTTACCATTAAAACCAATTTTTTCAACATAGGAAAAAAAGAAAAAGGCGGGCATAGTTTCCAGGCTGCATTCTATCGCGTTTCATATAAACATTGTTAGTAATTTTTGCGTTATCATAGGGTCCAGTTTTCGTGTTATATTTACCATATTTCAAGTCTATTTCTTGCTATAGCAACCAAATGTTTCAACATAGGGAATAAAGGCGTGAATAATCTCCTTATTGTCATCAATCCATATTTCAAGTTTCTTAAACATATTTTCAATACTTTTTTGCATTGTCCCATTTTGTGGACGGTCGGACGTAAAGACGGTCGGTCAGACAGAGGGTAAACCTAAAGTCACTAGGGCACTAATAAACTATTCTTATGACGTTACATGTGATGCAATGTTCTTAATTATTTGACACATTGACCGAAAGATGTTTGTTGCTAAATAAAAGAAAATCTTAATAATTGTTAATTAGATTGTTATATTAATATAAAATCTAAATAGAGTTATTCCGTGATAACAGACACTGCTAAATATTTATTGTCATTGAATATTCAAACGTTAAATGTATAAAAAGTATTCACAGTAAACTTAAATTCATATGTTATAATGAAGATTACATGTATCTAGATTTCTGTTAAATTAATTTTGCATAAACCCCTCAAACAAAACAAGTTGGTCAACAAATGCAACCAAAACAAATTACATCTCTTTATTTTTTTCTATAATTTGTTGCCCTGTTTCAAGAATGATAATCGACCAACAGTAACTGTGCCCTGTCTCGCAAGCCTATACATTTCTATTTGTACACTGTTTTGCGTTTGCAAGCACTTGTTACTTTCGATCACTGCACCCTTCTTGTGAGACTTTATGTGATGACAGGAATTAGACTTGTTCATAATTATACTGTGGGCCTGTTGAATTGGATATTTGGATACTTCAAACATGATCAAGACACAATTTTAATAAGCACTCTTTTATCAATAAATCAAAAGTTATTTCATCATCTTTCTAATAGTTATAATGGTGTTAAGTCAACAGTAAATGATAACTGAGAACTGAAAGCACCACAGTTAGACAAAGCTCATTCCTTTGACGCCATATCCTATTTCTGAACCAGCAGTACACATCAGCTCTGCGCCAGTTGTGTATGTAGCATCTACAGCCAGAAACAAACATGCCATCCCCATTTCTCTTGGCTCCGATACTCGATTGAGCAACTGAAACATATGAAACATAACTTATCATATTAAAAAGTGTCTTATTGTTACCACCAGTATTTTGTCACCTTAGTGTAGTAACGGGTTAAGTCATTTTAAATTTAATAGGAGTTAATCAGTTATTGCACGCAGTATTGAAAGCAACTACTACATTCAAATGAGATCTATTCAGAAAATTTGTCTTTTTTCATTTTAAGATTTTTGTTCAATTATTTTCCTTCCAGTCACTATCAAGGTGGCGCCTTTCCAGTTCAGTGATGGAATAAGACATAGCGTGCCCTTCCGTGCATTATTTCGAGCGTGAGCGGTACCTGAGAATAACAACTGGATAACTTAATTACATTAAAGGATAAAAGGATATTCATTGGACCGCCGAAAATATATCGTTTTATTTTATGCTTTTCAGTGGATAACTGATTTATCCGTGAAAATTATATTTGATAATTTCACAGTGAAAATTATCAAAATATAATTTCACACTTTTCAATGACAAAACTACTTTTTTAAGATTTTCCCCATGTGGTACCTCAATTTTATTTTTGCTGACTATTCCGACAATGTCAGGCTGCTAAAAGAAAAGCAAAGCTTTAATTGATAAATAACTTACATATCAAAAATAATTAAGAAAAAGAAAAAAAATACCAATATGTCACTTCTATTCATTCAAATAGCCAATCACCAAATATTGTCTCTTTAATTTTTTGTTTCATTTTTACAGTCTGAAAAATACATTTCTTCAACATGCAAAACTGCTCTTGATGACATTTGGGAATATTTAAGTATACTACGAAAAATAACTGCCGTATGCTTTATGAAAACTTGAAAAGCAATGGCAGCTTTCACTCGAAGAATATGTAAACAACCCAGCGTTCGTAAGGCTCAAGTTTTCCAATTTCCTATCCACTTTTTTGAATGATTACACATCTGTCAACACTTATTTATTGTCTGTTACAAAAATCCAATAAGTTTTCTTTCTTTTAAAAATGTGTATGACTTACAAATCCAAATGATATACCTCTGAATCAAACACAATTATTTTCCTCCAGTGAAATACACAACTTTAAAAATGGCGGCCGTTTACATTTAACAAGACCAGGTCTAATATAAATTCGCAGTCAGTAACGGAAATATGGATGGATGGTTCGACTTTTTTCTCCTACTAGAATTGTTTGTTTTTATTATTAAAACAAGCGATCAAACATATTTTTTTTAATAAAATGAATACTATCACTAGCTTTTAATATTGATTGTGGAACTTATTTTTCAGCCCAAGACTTCTTGTATTTAATGAGAAATTCGACTTTTTTGAGGCTCTCAATGGGGAAAACAGAATTTAATATTAACGTAAGTATTGAGGAAATTTCGTTTTAACATGTTTTTAAGCATAAAAAAAGAAAATTTGTTTGTTTGTTGTGTAAGCTGTAATTTTATTTCATCTCGTGAACTTTAAAAACAAATATCCTCTATATATCCGTGAGGCAAACAATTTGAAAACAAGAGTCGGGACCGCGGCAAACGGCATCGTTATTAGTGGTTTATCGTGAAAGTGGTGTCGTTATGTGGAGTTTATTGTAGTTTTATTTTAGATAGGTGATAGCTCACGTTTTATGTTGTTTTTTTTTGTTGTTGTTGTTTTTTCATTTGGTATAATTGTACTAGTAGTGTTACAAATGTATAAGAGTATCATCAAGGCAAATATTTATACAGAAAATCGCAAGATTAGAGTTTTTAATTGTAGTTTTGTTTAACTTTTTATATAATATTATCAATAGTTTTAATTTTTTACTTTATTACCTCCTTAACATACTTATTTTTTCTAATTAATGTTTAACATAATGTTAATACCGTGTTAACTTATCATGATTAGATTGATCATATTATTGTAAGACTGTTGAGGGATGACCCTGACATGTGACGGAGGCAATACACAAGGTTACCGTTTTTGCCAAAGTAAAGATGCCTGAAATAATTTATAAGTTTAGGTAATTTTCACTTACAGTATAAGACGCTACTATTTCATTAGTCTTTTCTGCCTCGCCACCGGATGAAATATGTTTACGGTACAATGGCGTATTTACTGCACTTGGCGATATCCTGAAATAAGAATTGTAACACATTATAAATATGGGCAAACTTTTGTAATAAACAAACATGGATTAAGCTGTAACTACTGATCTTTATATACATTTGTGCAATTTGTACAGGTAAAGTATTGTATACATAAATCACGTTTTTTATAAAGTTTTCTCGTATCAGAATGCACGTTAATATATTATGAAGATTGAAATAAAAACTTACGCATTAACTCGAACTCCGTATTTAGCCTCGTCTATTGCAAGGGCTTTAGTTAAAGAAATTCCACCGCCCTTAAATGTAATGTAAATTATATCTGACAATTTCAAGTTATACTAAACATACAACGTCTAAAAAATTCATATTTAAACAAACAACTATATCTATTTTGATTTTCAAACTATTGGATCTTACTATAAAATCTTTTAAATTCTTTAGAAAATGTCTTACATTAACCAATTAGCGTTTAACGTGAGGTAATATTCAGTAATATTCAGTGTGTTTTAAAATGTAAACCTTCGTTGCACAATAAGACGGCGAGTTTGCGGTGCCAGAATGACCACTGATGCTTGTAATATTCACAATACTTCCACTAGTCTTGCGCAAGTAGGGGAGTGCATACTAAGATAATAAAAAGAACGCACAAGTTATTACAGATACAATCATTTATTGGAATCATGAAGCGTTAATAGTTTTGCTCGTGTAAAGAAAAGTCAATAATGGTTTAAAACCTTAAAGAAAAATCCAAAGTGTTTCTGTTATTTTCGATATTGTAATGACAATTATATGAACTAATACTAATCCAACCAATGGACTAAAAGGAATAATAACTTCGCAATTGAATATAGACATAAATGGACAATTCTCTGATGGGCAAAAGGCTTTATTTTATGTTATATCTGATTTTCACTTTCAAGCGATGTGTGAAATAAGAAGTTATCTTTAAATTTTAAATTCAAAATGAAATTATTTTCAAAAATTATACTTACTTTACATGCTGCAAAGTAACTGACAAGATTTAAGTTAAGAAGATCTCTAAAACTGTCTACGCTTAGTTCATCAATGCTCTTGTTCCCTGGATCTGGAATTGTATTTACATAATAGGGTCATCCCTCATAATCATTAACTGATAACATGCTTTTTAACAGTATAAACAATTGAGATAAAACTTAACTGTAAGGTGTTTGATACTGTTTTCATACAGACATATACTAAGCAAGTGTATTAAGTTATATTGGAAATCCTTGCAGAGTTGCCTCCCTTCCTCTATGTTACTTTACAGTAATTCAGAATAGAGCACAAACAATGTTATTATGTATGGATGAGACTTAGATAAACTAGGCGGAATGAAAATCTTTCATAGAATAACTTAAACTTTGAATGGATTAAAGATTTGACATTAAAATATTTTAAGCTTAAAAAATTGATTGTTTTGCCTATTTTAAGGCCATTTAAGTAAGATTAATATTAATTTCTAGAAAACATTATTTAACTCTGCCTATATGTATCGAAGTTAAATCTTAAAAAGAGGTAAACCATGAAGATGCCATTCTTTGCCTGCTAGCGGTATCTGAATCTAGATACCTTTTCGACCAATGTCGACATTTTGGTTTGCTGTACAGTCAGTACTTCTAATAAATGGTTGTCCATTTTAGATAGTTGTGGTTTTATCAATTAACTAAGCACACCAGGTAAAACACTTTGTATTATTTGATTATAACATTTCTGAGATGATCTTTATAACACAATTTAATATTGAGTCTCCTTTTATTATGATAAAATGATTACATGATGCAATGTACTACATGTACTTACGTGTGCCAGCATTGTTCACCAGGCAGTCAATTTTCTTGTATCTTTCTACCACTTTTTCAATCGCTTTCTTTAAATAATATGTAATTATATGTAGTTTTATTGTAGATTTATTTATAAAGAAATGATTATATTTTTTTTGCTTATTAAACTTTAAGAAATTTTACTTTAAGATGTAAAACTTTAGTTGATTACGTGTTTCATTCAGACTTGTAGAACGAAAATTTACTAGCACGTACTAGCAAGTAAAGTTCAGTATTATGATAAAAATAGGTCACTCTTCAAATTGTTAGAAACAAACCATACTAGATAGAAGAAAATCTTACCGTTTATCCACACTTAACAACAAATATCATTCATTAGAGCATGTTTATCTCAATACAGGGGTGTAATTATAAAATTTTACCTTAATTTCGTCCTCACTGTTCATGTCGCAGTGTATAAAAAATACGTTCTCGTTTGCTATTTTTGCCCCCTCTTCATCTGCAATTAATACAACAACAAAAAGTCACACAACAATTATTCTGCATCCGTTATAACATGATTAGAACGCTTATTTATTTCACCAATTCATAAGATTCGTTATCATTAGAAAAAAATGAGATCCTTCCTGATCAAATTTAATGTCGTTTAACCTTTACCATGCTTGCACCAAACGTGACCAGCCTTTAAGATATGTAAAAGCTTGCATATATGTGAAGTCTGACCAGACTCAATATTGTTAGAGACAAACCTCAAAGTTATATTATGAAATCTCTAAACCGATAATGAACAAGTTTCGGAAATTCAGGAGCTGATGAATTTAGTTTAAAGGATAACAACTCTTATTACTGCAATATGCACGTCTAATTATTCAACAGACTTTTTACCTGAAAATCGTGCATAAAATTATAAGTTTAGCTTCCTATCACATTGGTCAATGTGTCAAATTCAAATTATGTTACAATGTGGTAAAATCATGGACAATGCATTTATATCGTATTCATTCCGTAGTATTCATGTAACAAGTATTAGATTGTGTTGCATAATGCTGTTTTTGTGAACCGCAAAAATCACTTACAGATTTGTATACTTATCTAATTTCTAATGTTATCAAACAATTCTATTGATAATTAAGTATATATAGGTGTCTTTGTTATCAATATCATACCATTCACGTCCAGTACAGCAACTTTCCCTCCATGATCGGCTACAAAAAAAATGAATAAAGATCGAATGATACGAACATAAAATTCAAAAAATATTTTGTATCCATAACAACAAGACCGTTTGTGTTATTTTCTTCACTAAGAATGATGTGATAATATGAAACAAATTAGAAACATATATTAATAACAAATTATCATGAACCAATTTGATGATGTTGCATAACTAAGAATTGTTAGTTGATACTATTAGAGAAGTTATACAAGGCCTGTCAATAAAATTTATAGACGGTTAACGCCACTAGACACAATTTCATTTATATAACCTACAATTGTATTATTTTACATTATATCGAGTTATTTAAAAAATATCTTCTCTAATTATAGTTCTGCCATTCATAACTTTAAATGTCGCTTTTATTTTGAAGTTGTGCGAAAAGGTCTAGCAGTACTATAAAACCTGTACGCTGAAGTCTCTTTTAGCTACTACTATTACTTTTATATTCTCATTATAGAGGGCATAGCTGTGAATTTTAGGTGTACGCCAAACAGTCTTCAATATCTTGTAATTACAATAGAAAATTTTAAAACAGGTTAGATTTACGGGCCTTATGCCTTTAATGTCTTATATATAGAGGATATTTGTTTGTTTGTGTGTAAGATGAAATTTTATTTCATCGAATGAGCTTTAAAAACAGTATTCTCACGAGTGGCGTAGCCACGAGTGAGAATACTGTTTTTAAAGTTCACGAGATGAAATAAAATTACATCTTACACAACAAACAGACAATTTTTTTTTATTTTATGCTTAAAAACAAGTTAAAACGAAATTTCCATAATTTTAACGTTAATATTAAAATCTGTTTCCCCCATTAAGAGACCCATTTAGACGGAATTTCTCATTTAAAACAAGAAGTATTGAGCTGAAAAATAAGCCCGCCAATCAAGGTTAAATGACGGTGATATTTATTCATTTTATGAATGATCGCTTGTTTTAATAATAAAAACAAACAATTCTTGCAGGAGAAAATTCCAACCATCCATCAATATTTCTGTTACTTACTGCGAATTTATATTAGACCTGGCTTTCTAAAATGTAAACGGCAGCCATTTATTAAAGTTGTGTATTTCATGGGAGGAAAATAATTATGTAAGATTCAGAAGGATATAATTTGGATTTGTTAGTCATACACCTTTTTAAAAGAAAGAAAACTTATTTGAGGATTGTAACAGACAAAAAATTAGTGTTGACAGAAGTGAAAACATTCAGAAAAGGAGCTAAGAAAATGGAAAACTTGGAAGCTTTCTGAAGGAACGCTGGGTTGTTTTACTTATTTTACGAGTGATGGCTGTCAATGCTTTTCAATTTTTCATAAAGCATACGGCAGTTATTGCTCGTAGGATACTTTAATATACCCAAATGTCATCAAAAGCAGTTTTGCATGGGGGAAGTAATGTATTTTTCAGTCTGTAAAAACGAAACAAAAAAAATTAGAGGCTTAATTTGGTGATTGGAATTTGAAGGAATAAAAGTAAGTTTTCTCTCTGTGTTACTTTTGACATTTAAGTTATTTATCTATTTCAGCTTTGCTATTTCTTTTAACAGCCTGACATTGTCCGAATTGTCCGTAAAAATAAAATTGAGGTACCACATGGGGAAAATCTTAAAAAAGTAGTTTCGTCATTGAAAAAAGTGAAATTATATTTTGATAATTTTCACTGTGAAATTATCAAATATAATTTTCACGGATAAATCAGTAATCCACTGAAAAGCATAGAATAAACTACGTTAATGCAAAGACTTGATGTTTTATCGTTGGTAATTTTCTTATAGATCATAATTAATAAATCTTCAAGGCGTTATAATAAACCATTACGAGCAACTCTTTCTATATAGAAAACAAGACGCATGGTGTCGATTCTTGACACATTACGACACTGACTGAAGGGCACCCGTCCTGTCACAGTATAAAACGAATTCCTACGGTTGCAATGGAATTTTCGTATCGTAACGCTTCAACAACTGTGAAGATCTAAACATGCATTCGTTAAAGTTGCATTTTAATCGGCCCCTCTAAAGGTTTGAATCACAAAGCTGACCATTCTTTTGCAGCCTTTTTACGCGTGCGTAAATTCTTGCTTGTCCGGTTCGGTGAATATTTTTAGATGACATACTTTAAAAAAAATGCACCAAAAAGAGCAGTTACGCAACTTTTTCGAGCTTTTGTTTATAAATGGCAAGAACGAAACATGAACTTTGCAGTACAGAAGAAAATTAAAAGAAGATAAGAATGACGGATATATATCATCTCGTATATTTTCCCACAGCTTAAGCAGTAGTTTTGGGACCGGAAGATTCTGGCGAGGAATTATACAAGCGTTAAACCATTTTGACGGTTCATGGGTAAAGTGACACCGTATGTGTGTTGAAAGGTATTTTAGGTCTTTGACATTTGACATGCGCCACGATTAATACAGTTGCTACGTTAATTATGCCAACATTATGTTGTTATTTGATATTTATATATGAACATTTGTAAAGTTGATGCAATTTTATGCATTTTGAACATATTAGATACTTTCATTCCTATTTACTTCAGCTTTTAAACAATCTTGTTGAACTCAATATTCGGACACCCGTCCTACTATAGGAAAACTGTTATAGTGTACATATTTAGATAAGACGAAAGGTGTTTTTTGGGTTTCTTTATTGTGTTTTACGTAACACCGACACAGTTTTACTGCTGGAGGAAGACCTCAGGTGCCCTTACGGTAATTATTTTAGGCACAAACGGGCACCTGAGTAGCACGACCGACGTTACGTTAGCTAGCTGGATAGCTTCCTCACATGAAAGAATCCAATGTCGGGATTCAAACCCACAGCGGTGAGGGGCAAGTGGTTTGAAATCAACGACCTTAATCACTGGGCCACGGACGCCCCAGGAGAAAGGGGTAATTATGCCTAATGAATATTGAGGTTTTAAAAGATTTAGTTAAATGATATATTCTTGAAAAAAATTATAATACGTTAGCTTTTAAATGCGAATGATAGAAGTAAAAAAAGTAAAAGAATGAAGGGCGTTGATTAAAAGGAATATACACATGCGCACTACAAGACAAAAAGGGAAATCTTACTTAAGATATTTACCAAATACATCAACACATCCACGACCAATACCGCAACAACCGCCTGTAACTATAGCAACCTTGTCTTTAAATCTGTCCCCGCTAGCCATTTCTATGAAATTAAGTCACACATATTTTATTTAAGAAATAATATATCCCAAACTGTGATTTTATTGCTCAATAACATCACTGTTTGGAGTTCGGATGCGGGGAATTATATAACGAGGGCGTAGCCCGAGTGATTTAATGATGCGCATCCAAACAACAAACAGTGGATGTTATCAAGCAATAAAATCACCGATTTGGATATATTATTTCGATTCTAACACGACATCAACAAAAAAATGCTGCCGTACATGATAATTAGCTAAATTGCGCCTGATTTGTTTCCGTACTTCTTGTCAGCGCGTCACATTTTTAGTGGTTACGTCACATGTATAAATATAGAACGTCAAATTGTGATTTTATAGCATAATAATACACACTTTTGGTTCTTCTTTGTTCAATAGGGAAAAATGCGGGTCGTGTAAGAATTAAAAAAACATCTTTTTTGTTGCTGAGTAAACGATTGTGTATCATTTTATAATGTGCTGCTTAATTTACTATGTACATTGTATCTAATTTTTATTGACATGAATAATATTTCATTTAATAGAGCATTATACTTTATATATAATATTTACTCAAGAAATATCTAAGAAAATGTTACCTTAAATAGTTTCTATTCCAACTAAAACTATAGTGAATAATTTTATTATCAACAATTTACAGGTAGTATCAGTTTCAAGGTCATATGTGGTATCTTATTTAAATAGCAACTGATTACAACTGCAAGGCCACTGTACCTCTATCATAATTGATAGGTGTTAAGTAAAATAATAAGAAATAGAGTATAATACCTTTCGTGATAAAGCACTCTAAATGTCAAAAGCCAGTTGTTATGTTAATTTGACTGGTGCATGTAAATAATATAACGGAACAAATCAACTACATCTTTATATAGAGATTAACGCCGTCCAATCAAGCAGACGTGCCGCCTTTTAGTCTTGTCCTAACAGTGTTAATAAGAATATATGGAACACATCTGGCGTTATACATCGACTTTCTTTCATTGTTTAATTATAACGATATGGATATGTGCGTACCAATTGAGGGGCTGTCGATCCGACCGCTTATATTTCTGTTGCTGTTTGTTGAAGCATTCATCTATCCGTGTAATACGTATGTTTTTCGCTCAATTTTTGCCAAATCCTCAAATGGATCGAGCATAAACGGTGGAGCATTTGGAGAACGTTTGTGTAAACAGTCAGGTAATGTAAGATACACTGATGTCAAAGGGAACGACAATTGTTTGTGTTGGTTTAATTGATACTGTTATGCAGCTTTTGAGAAGTCTTTACGTCAGCAGAAGGTCACAATCAAGAGTTTAGTGTTCTTAGTGCCCGGACATAAATGAAGCTTTTCTTTTTCCGATTTTACTACCGCATTTCCGTTTTCTACATCTGCTAATCACCTGAGAATTAGTCGTGTCTGGTGTACAACACCCAATCATAGTATATCGGTTTAAGATATCATACAAAGGACCACCACGATCGTTATTACTGAGGTAGATAAAGCTCTGCTGTCTGGTTAAGTCTTTTATTACATCATTCGAAACATTGCAAGACTAATAATGATTAGTAGAAAGGTTGATCCCTCGGCAACATTAATCATTAATCACAACAAAATACATAAAAATTGCAGCTGTTTGATTGAGTCTGTACGTGAGGGCTAATGAAAAATTGAAATGCCCCCTAGCAGCGACTTGAGCGGTTCCCAATTTTTTAAACACTTCAATGTGCTTGAATCAATGATACCGAGGGACCGTAAAAATATAAGTACATTCCTTCTTTGGAACCAATAGTGTGTGTCGACCTGCAGTATTTATAAATACAGTGTAACTTCCGAAAACCGAACACCCATGGGACTTGTCAAAAAGTTCGGATTTCAGAAGTTTCCGGCATTCAGAGGTTTATGATAATGTCGACAAGACTAAGCCACTTAATATCACTAAATGTCAAGGAAGATGTGGCCATTACTGTAATATCATAAATAATAGTCTTTTAATCAAGATAAAGATGTGCATGAAAAGAATACATTTTTATCTTACCTGCAAATGCTTTTGAATTTCTAGCAGTTTGTAGAAATGTTGTTAATTGCATAAACTTACATATCGTCCGATGCTAGTTAATTAATTATTACATAAAATGCGGTACCCCATAAAATGCAATAAAATCCCTAAAGACGTTTGATGCATACATTGTCCAATTTATTGTCATTTAATCCGCTAATAAACACTTCAAATTAACTGACCGCCGTAAATTACTTTGATGAACGGCATCACTTCAAACATACCATTTCACAGTTTGTGATTTTAACGCGTGTCAAATAACACGATCACCGCTAATTAGTAAACAATCGATAGGGAGATTAAATCTTCCTGCAGGGTAAATATTCTCGATTTACAATGTATTTCACACCATTGGATATTTCCGGTTTTTGGAGGTAAAATTGCATTGATTTGACTCTAATTTTACGAAAATATCGTCCGGAATTCAGAATTTAGAAGTTCCGGAATTCAGAAGTATTATATTAATAGAAAATAGAAGGGAAAAAATCGGGACCGAAAAAATTGTTCGGTTTTTAGAAGTTTCCGGATTTCAGAAGTTCCGGAATTCGGAAGTTACACTGTAGCTCAGAAATAACACTTAGGCTTCAAAGACAGGTTTGACCGTCCTTATACTCGAATCACTCATAGAAACATTGATGCTGAAAAGTCTCTTGTGAAAGATAGCTCTAGATATACTATATCAAAGACGGCTTGATCTTAGCAATAAAAACAAGCTATTACAAGGAATGATTTTTTAAAGATGGGTGCCACATTTTCTCATTGATTATCAGAAAAAAAGAGAGAGTACAGTATGATAATAAACATGGAAAAACAGTAAACAAAACTATCAAAGGCAATTATAGGATTTGTAGTTGACGACTTATATTTACTATTAATTAAATAACTGCATAACTTGTAAAGTTGCTTTGCATTAAATATGTAATAAATTTATAGAATCAAGAAATAACTATAACACAATTTCCCTGGCTCAGAAAAGATTGAAAAAAATTTATCAATTGCCAAGAAATTATTAGAAACCAATAAACGAACGCGTACGAGTCCGCTTAATTTATGGCAACTTTCTTGAAGGGGAATATTAAACAATATTACAAAAGTGTTTGTATTTTCTCATCTGTTAGTACAATCTGGACAAGTACAAACTAACAAAGGCATAGGCTCTCACATGCGCTGGCATTTGATATTAACTAATCAGGAAAGTATTTTGATAATTGTCACATACATTTATCTATATAAAACAAAACGTTTAACTTTGTTTTCATTTTATAAAACAGACGCTTATCATAGAACATAATTTCCGTTACATAACACGCGTGTAATAGATAATAAATACAGAATGGTTTAATGCCAAAATTATATAAAAGGAGAAATGTCGTTTGATATAAATCTATACAACACACGTACTATTGGTCAGGTCAATTCATATGCTGTTATTTATACATTTTGGCGAATTAAATTTTTTTTAGTTATTTAAAGAAAATGATATTTGTAACGTTCACCTCATTCCTAAGAGTTTAACAATGTTCTATTTTCAGTAATGTTCTATTTTTAATTCGAACAATTTTCGAATGCATACAATGCAAATGATCAGATTGTTTAATACGTATCAACCAAAGCTTGTAGTGCTCAACACCAAAACGAAGATCAAAATTTTATATTTCATCACTTGTTTCGGGTAAGAAGTAAAAAGTAACTTTCAAGTGTGTTTACATTTATTATTAAACATGATTATGATGCACTTGAACTCGAATGATTTTGAAGCAAAGCCATCACTGTTTCACTCCGTATCCTACTTCGCAGCCTCCGGTACACATTAACTCCTCACCAGTAGTGAAAGTGGCGTCTACAGCAAGGAACAGACAAGCCTTTCCTATTTCTCTTGGTTGACCAACCCTGTTTAATGTCTGAAATAAAATATCACAAAAAGTTATATGTGTCAATTAATAAAAAAAACTGCATTGTAGGTGAAATTCATAACTAAATTGAATTTACCAGGCTGTCAAAAATATGAAGTGGGAAATGCATAACGTGCGATAAATTGGGACCTTTTTGCTAAACAAAAGTAATTTTGATTTTGTCATTGCTTCAAAAATTAATTCAGAAAGAGCGTCAAAATGCGAGGCTATCTGATTTGTACAAGGGGCTGAGGTACCGATCTAGGGGATGTTAATCGATTGCTTATGGTGTATGTGATCGCTTGTTGAAGTTTTCAACTATCCGTCTAATACGTTTTTGTTGTTGTTGTTGTTTGCTTTTGTTTTATTTTTCTTCAATTGTTGCCAATGGATCGAACAGAGACGGTGAAGAGCTTTGGAGACCGTTTATGTCATTTGTCCTTTGAATCGAAAGATCGTCAGTCATTGTATAAAGATAAACGAATGTTAAAGGCAACGACTAATGTTTTTGTTTGTGTGCTGCAGTAATGTAGGAGTGCTGTTTGCTAGGGGCGTGGATGGTAACTTACACTTTCCAGTACCATCCATTAACAGGCTCAATCAAACCGAACCTGCAACATTTTCATTTTTTTCGTTTTGGGCGTTCTTCAGCATCCGTTTATCTCTATTTTATTGCAACATTAACGTTATTTGTGCCGTGTCGAGGCTGTAAAAAGTCGCCCCTAACATATAATCAAAGATATTATATTTTAGATCCTTGAAGATCGTTCAACACGACATTATTGTTATGTATGCCTGTTACGTGGTACTTTTAGTTTCTTCTATTTTGGCCTTTTTCAACTTTGGTGGTTCCAGTATTCCTACTTAAATACTGTATAATCAGACTTAGGAGTTGCCTGCTTTTTGCATGTGTCTTTTGACGTCTGATCTGTGATATGGAGGCTTCAGAACCTCAGATTCCCTTTCAAAATTCCTTTTGTTTAGTTACACCTATTGTTTTCTCGTTTAGGGCACCCACATTTTTTAAATACGGACCATATGTCGCTTTTCATGGAATGGCACTAACGGCACTTACGTGTCACATTGTTCCATGATAAACGCCGTATGAACACATCTTTACCGAAATAGCGCTAAGTCTGTCAAAGACAGGTTTATTAGTCCTAATATTGGAATCTCTCTTAGAAACATTGATGCTGTAAAGGTTGCTGTGGAAGATGGTGCTTGATCTTAGCAATACGAAAAAGCCTTTAAGGACGGGTTTTTTTCAAGATTGGTGCCGCATTTTCTCCTTGATTGTCAGAAAAAGAGAGAGTATTGTGTGCGACACATTTAAAAATTTAAAAACATTAAAAAAACTATTAAAGGGAATTATAAAAAATATATATGCAGTTGACGACTTATTTTTACTATTTATTAAAGAACTGTATAATTTGTAATGTTGATTTGCATTAAATATATAATAAAAAATAACTATAACACAATTTTCCGGCTCGGAAAGATTGAAACAAATTTTCTTATTTGCTAAGAAATTATTAGAAACCAACAAAACAAAAAGGTAAAGTATGTGTAATTTATGGCAGCTTTATTGAGCGGGAATATTAACAATATTACAAAATTGTAAGTATTTTCTCATCCGTTGTTAGTACAATCTGGATAAGAAGAATCTAACAAAGACATTTACAGGATCTCACATGTCATATGATATCAACTATTCAGTTAAAGTGTTCACAAGAGTATTGCACACTAACATGTTCCTGAACTCGTTTTATGAAGGTTTTTTAATAATTATCAGATGTTTGTTTTTATCACATATCCAATTCATATGCTATTTTTCATATATTTTGGCAAATTTAAGAATGTTGGTAATTAAAAGAAAGGATATACATGTATGTAACGTTCATCTTATTCCTTAAAAAATTGTCTATTTTCAGTTACGTTCTATTTTATATTAATTCGCAGCCTCCGGTACACATTAACTCCTCACCAGTAGTGAAAGTGGCGTCTACAGCAAGGAACAGACAAGCCTTTCCTATTTCTCTTGGTTGACCAACCCTGTTTAATGTCTGAAATAAAATCCCATAAAAGTAACGTTGTCAATAAAAAATCTGCATTGTGAGTGCTTATTATTACTAACTACAATGAATATAACAGGGTGTCGAGCATAAAAAAGTGGGAGATGCATAATGCGTGATAAATTCGGACATTTCGGCTACTCAAAAATATTTTTGATTTCAGTTATTGATTCAAGAACTTAACTAAAGTGTCCAAAATTAACAACTGTTAAATGTACTTTGCAACATATTGATTAAAGTAAATTTGTTTAGAGATAGAAAAAATTATTTACATGTAAGGAACCGATAAAGTTTAGTCTTTCCTCTGTCATTTCATTACCACTTGCTTTCTCAACACTTCGCATTAACGGAGTGTCTATACATCCCGGTGATATACTGAAATATACATAAAACTTATTGCATAAATACAAACTGTAAATGTTGTATTATACAAGCGACATACTAAAAAAGAACAATATAATTATGTAGTATTTATACAACCTGGGGATATACTAAAATATATGTAGAATTAATACAACCTGGCGATATACTAAAAAATGCATGTAGTATTTATACAACCTGGCGTTATACTGAAAAAATGTATGTAATATTTATACAACATTTGGGGATATGCTGAAAAGTGCATGTAGTAGTTTTACAATATGGCGATATACTGAAACAATACACTAGTATGTAGCATTTACAAAACATGGGAATATTCTTGTAGCATATATACAACACCGGGGATAATCATAAATATTCATATAGTTTAATATACAACCTGGGGATATATTTAAATTTCTAAATTGAAATATACATGAAGTAACTTGTGGTAGACTGAAATTTAAATAATCTTGTTCAATTCGTGCCCAAGCTTACAGTTTTGTAATTCGGTAAGACCTGCGTGAATAATAATTAAAGTGTACATCTGCTGGCCTCTGCACGTCGAACAACAAGCGTTCATTTAATGGATACAATGCGAGTTTTCTTTTAAAGTGTCTTATTACAGACGTAAGAAGCCAGTTTGCTAGGACACGGGGCGAAGCCATGTATTTTTTAGTATTATATTCCTACAAACTATTTTAATTTGAACGCGAACTATTCATTATTTTACAACATCGAACTAAAGATCAAGATCTGTTTCTCAATCTTGTGATCTGTGAGTTTCTTTTTAATTGCAAATTATAAGTTTTAAAACTGAACTTTATACTGGAAATTAACTCGAAACAAAAGTTTAAAGAAGACACCCGGCTTGTAAAGGGAGAAAACTGGTATAAATATGTCATTGTGACATGCAAGGGTTGTCTCCCTTCTAATAAACTGCATTTATGAAACACAAGATTTCGTATAATGCCTATTGTGATTGTTGTTGCTATTTTATATAAATATTAATCTCTTTAGTCACAGAGTATCGTTAAGACTTTAGGAAAGTGATTATTAGAATATCAGATCTGTGAAACTGAACAACAGCCTACTAGATTCTATCAGCGGCATAGTGCTACTATGTTCATTTAGTTTGTCGCATAGTGCGTATGAATACAAATATAAAGGTTATCAATATTCATTAGGGGTAATCGTCGCAATACGTCGGGCAAATTAGATTCGATGTAAGTCATTCAATGGGTCTTTCAAAAAAGAATACTATTTTACTTTGTAAAGTTTTACGGTGCATCAACACAATTTAGGTCATATGGCGCCAAACAGGTAAGATGGTTTGGGCTTCCTCGGGTGTTAAACCTTAAAGCAACACCGGGGTCAAAACCACCTCACCTGCTGGAGCTAAGAGATGCATTGACTCCAGTTTTCTGAACTCATGTATGTGCCTCTTACGGTCACGCAGGGATAAACAGTGGCTGCAATTCTGAGGCCTCAACCAGGGGCAAAGAAAACTAGGTCCTATTGCATTGAGAACATTTATAAAGTATAGGTTATATTGCAGTTATATTGCAAACTACCCTTTAATTACGACCATATAACCTACAGGGAATCTATATAACGTTTCTGTAATAAAGCAGTTCCCTTTTTTTTTGAAATCTAAGATTTTTTATTTTTTTTAATCTAAGAAATTACAGCATCTGTATTTATGTAGTTAAAAAAGCACGAACAGCGACGTAACCAACGTGCAGTATTATAAAAAATAAATATTTTTACTTACCAATTGACACGAACTCCGTGTTTTGCTTCGTCAATAGCTAGAGCTTTCGTTAGTGACAAGCATCCACCCTATAAAATAATAATGTCATGATTGAAGCATTTCATACAAAATTAGCTCGACAAGGCTTACCAGGCAGTCATTGATAAAAGACAAGCATGAAAAGAGGGTTTCGATTTAAAAAAAGGTAACGCTATAAAATGAGACCAAGTTTGCTGATAAAACTGAAGGATTTATGACAAAGATTGTTGCTCCCTTTGTGGAATCGGCCAGGCACGATGTCTATTACATGTACTTTCTAATGTTACGAATTTAATTAAATTAAACGGTTGTTTTCACGTTAAACACAATGTAGATAGAAAAACCTGTCCTGTTACAGTATAAAGGCGGGGATGCTGAAAACCTTAAGCTAAACTCAACATTATATAAACGTGATAATTCATGAGTCTTTGAAGACACATCAGCAGATGATTCCGATTTTGATGAGGTGTTATCAAACATTTGGTTGGGTTTTACGTCGCACCAACACAGTAAAGGTCATATGGCGACTTTCCAGCTTTTACTGAAGGAGAAAGACCTCATGCAGGTGCCCATCTGCACATTATATCAGGCATAAATTTTAACGGGTACCTGAGTAGAACCACCGACGTTTTGAGACTGCTACTGTTACAACTGATTATGAATAAATTGACGCTTAAAATTGCATTCGGAATAAATAGAGGATATTGAATGAGTGTAGGTTCAATACATAATTCATTGAACGAGCTGAAAAAAAAAAATATTATGCTAGCGTCGGGCGAGCAAAATGAATGAATTAAACGAGTGCAAAAGAATCTTTTTTCATTGACGGCCGTGCACCATATTTTACGGAATCGCAAAATCGGCACGGGTATTTCAAACATTTAATTACCAAAACTTCAGAAAAAGTGGTAAAATATACTAGAAAAATAATGAAAACGTGTTATTCATTGACACAAAACTGGACAAAAAAGTAATGTAATAATTACCTTAGTTGCACAATAACTGGATGCCAATCCAGTACCAGAATGGGCACTAATACTCGTGATGTTAACTATATTACCCTTGGATTTCCTGAGGTAAGGGAGAGCATACTGTAAAATATAACAGTTGACTTCAGTTGATGAATCGAATGAACGATAAAGAAATTTTGAAATTCGAATCGATTTACAACAATTTTCAATATATCATATTTTGTTTATGAATCGTCTTTGTGCAGTGTTTAGATAAAGAATAAATAGGTTTTTTTTTTTAGAAAAACTCTATTCTTTCGGCAGCGCTTCCAATAATTGTACATATTCATCAGCCGAAAGTGTTGGGGTTTTTTTTCATTCACAATAATGGTATTATAATATATTTTCGATTGTAATTTACAAAAAATGATCAAATCTTATCATTAACTCAGAAATTACTACCCTCTAGTTTAGGTCAGTCATCAGTTTTAAACGTTTCCATCATCAAAACCTTAATGTGAATCAAAATGATTAATGAATATGTTAAAATGTTTCACCGTGCAGCTCCAAAAGACAAGATAACGAAACAGGATAGTATTTTACTTGCAGTAAAGGTTATTATCAAGATACCAAAAAGTTGGACTCCGCCTTCCTTTCTGTGACGTTAAAAACAATTTTAACATTCCCTTTACTTGCTATACAATTATTACTGGCAAGATATCAAAACTAGACACTTACATAACTTTCTGTGAAATATTGACGCATATCTTATTTGCCGTGAAGTTACTGACTTTTACTTTACTTGTTTTGAAGTTACAGCAAAGATAACAAAATTGGACACTTACTTTACTAACTGTAAAATTACTGAGAGAATAAAAAAATCGATACTTACTTTACTTGCTGTAAAGTTACTGACAAGATTCAGATTTAGAAAATCTCTAAAACTTTGCACAGTCAGTTCATCAATGGTTTTTGACCCTGGATCTGAAAATTACAGCAGCCATTAAAATCACTGTATATGGTTATACAATGAATAGACAAGCTTACATTAAAGATATACTATGCAAAATACTTTTATTCTCACTGAATATGTCTAATTTGAATAAGAAAATGTTCGAGCCATGTATGGTATTTAAATTGCATTCCCTATCACTGGGCATGTCTAATTTGAATAACTATGTATGGGGAAACTGCATCCTCTCTTACTGGGCGAGTTAAAGTGGTCCTTTCTTAAAATAAAAAAAAACTGACAGATTCTATAATGACACTATGTATTTGTTCTATAATAACTTATAGTGTATTTGGTTAAGAACGTAAAGTATCTACTCTCCGAGCACTCATTAGATGTTTAATTTGCATAAAAATAAAACTGTATAGCATTTATCAGTATTTCCAAATATGAAATGTGAGCACAATATATCTTTAACAATGAAATTGACTATGTAGACCATGTTTCGTATTTGTAGTAATGGGTTTCGTATTTGTAGTAATGGAACAAGTTAGATGTGTAATTATTTATTACCACATATTGAATTTTGTGAAAATTGAGATCATAACGCACATGATACTGCCTTACGTATCCAAACCATTGCATAAACATTTTGTATATTAGTTAAGCGATTAGACCTTGATATTGATATTATTAAAAGACTCACAAAAGTGTTTCACAATAAAAGCTTTGTTCATCTTTTGTAATTTGTAATTATTATTGTCATTCAATGAAAAACGTGGATAGATGATGATGAGTTATTTGTTTCTGTGCAAGTTTTATGTTTGCAATAAAATTGTATTACGTGTTCCGACGTTGTTAACTAAACAATCCAGTTGACCATACTTCTTTACCACAAGTTCTATAGCATTCTGAAATATGAAGTTGAATTCGTTCATTCAATAAGGGTCAAACATGTAGTAAATTGGAAAAAGAATATCTGACACCATTGTATAATTACCATCCAGGAAATGTGTGTTTCGTAAGCAAGAAGTCTTCATACATTACAATTATTGATATATATCAGCATCTTATCAAGTTTCTTTTATGTTGTAAAAGACATAGCAGAAGTAAATGTTTCTGTTGGTCTTAATATTAAGTTAACTAAGAATGTAGTATTAGATTGCAATGCAATGCTTCAATTAAGGTAATAAAATTATTATATTTTCAAAGAAACATTTCCTCATTATCACAAAAAAAACAAATACAATAATATATGTTCGAAGAAACAATACTTTTAAAACGTAACATAATATTCCACTTTCGTTTTCGACACTGACTCGTTACCTCTCATTTACAAATTTTATTTCAACTGTTATCCATGTAGCTGCCTACTTCTTATTCCCCAGCTCACTCAATCGCATAATTTACACAACAATTCTGTAATAGTTTCTCTGTAAATTGTACACATTGTATCTCCAAACTGTACTTTCGTATAGATATAACGTACGTTGATATTTAAAGCGGGTGAACTTAATGTTTCAAGAATACCTTAATTTCTTCTTCCTTTGTCATGTTACAATGAACATAAAATATTTCACCAGGGGTGTTGACTGATGCAAAACTTGCTCCAACTTCATCTAAAATATATTGTTAAATAATTTGAACGATTCCTTCCTCTATTGTTTGATTTTGTTTTCCTTTACGTCAATACCTATTGGAATAAGCAGTTTTATATGGTATATGTATCTTGTCTAAACTTACATCTACATGTATAATGGCAACGTTTATATTATACTTACTTCATATATTTGGTGTTTGTTTTCAAATGAAATAATCTAACTCTAATCCTTACTACTGATAAAAATCAAAACAATGAAAGGTGCATCAACCAGCATATGCTGAATAGAGCACATGATTATGTTCAGTGCCGACAAGGAGATCACTCCTTTATCTTATAGATATTATAAAACATACACAGGATCCAGTGACTGCAAAATAAATTGAGTTTAGCTATATTTATAAATAAACAGTTTACAATATGTTTATAATATACAAATGTATATCCAGCACTTTGACCAGAAGACATTTGTGCAATTATAACGTCCAATGTGCACTTTTGACGTTAAACCAATGACATTGATCAGCGACCACCTTAATTGTTATTCATCGCAGTATATAATACCTCACTCAAAATCTCGAACCTTGATATTAACCCAACATATCTGATTCCAACCGAGACAGACATTTAATTGTAATATTTAATGCATAAAAATGCTTTGTCATTGTGTTATGCTAATAATCCTAATAAATAATCTTACATTAAACGATTTTCATATGCCATTTTAGTTTATTTGTACCAGAATGTTAGAATTTCAATGAATTTTAATAACTTACCATCTAAGTCTAAGACTGCAATTTTTCCTCCATGTTCCGCTAAAATTGACATCACAATTATATACATATAAACACATATAATTATGTATTCATGTATATCCAAACAAAATGTTTTACATGGAATCAGTAAGTAAAGAAGCGAAAAAAATGTGGAAGTTTAAAAACTTCAATAAGACGAATTTTTCGAACAATATCTATATGTTATTTGTTATTTATTGAATACTGTTGAGAACTTGAGATTTAAAGTAAATAAGTCAGCAATAGGCACATTTTCCATAAGTATTTCAAATATTGATAAAAACAATACAAATTCATCATTGTGATATATATTATATATTGACATATTTTTTAAACAATGTTGATGGAGTTTTAAGCGATTTAGTATGCACATTTACATGATTATAATGTTTTAATCTAGTACAATTCATCATATATTATATGTAATATCGGATTATGTATCTCACACCAACAGCATCCATAATATTCATATAATTCTTTCGCGGTTTGTACGTATGATACAAAAGGCTATCAACATAATTTTTAATGGTTTGACAGACCTTTCGCTATGCACCAATACACTTTACACAAAGACTTAATTATAATCTTACCCAACACATCCACACAACCGCGTCCAATCCCCCTACATCCCCCTGTAACTATAGCAACCTTGTTGTAAAAGCGTAGACCACGAGTTGCATCTGAGCTTGACATTACTTGAGTATGAAAGAAGCAGATGAGTTCAATATTAATACCCGACAGTCACACTGAAAAAAAAAGAAACGATGGTGAATTTAAACGAATGAGCATATTTTAAGAAACGTTATCATTGTTATGCCATTAGCAAAGAGCGCTGTTTTATTTATATCGATCTTAGAAAAAATAGAGTTTGCTTACGAGTAAGATAAAAAGTTAGTCGATAGCTGCACCTCTTTTTGACAGTTTACATAGATAATTCTTTTTCTTCTTTTTTTCGAAAACTTAAAAGTGTATAAAATGCATGTAATATATAAAAGTATGCAGATATATATAAATTTGCATTACCTTTGATAGGAAACTGTATCAAATTACTTCAAGTCTCAACTTAAGTGTGTGCTTTTTAAAGCTAACAGTTTGACGGTAGACTGTAAAGTTTATCTGCTCATTTTAACCTTAAGAATGGTTAAGAAGACATATCACTATATATAAAGTATTGCCAATGTTTGTTTACATGATAACAACAGAGGTCTTCAACGTTAAAGATGCATCTATCATTAACTAAACAAGATAAAGAATGATATCTGCGATCTAATTCGCAAAGTGAAGTGTTCAGCTAGTAATATGACATGAAACAAATTTGAAAATATTATTAAAAAGGGAGAAAAAAGGGTTATCATTACACTGCACTTTCTAGATGATAAACATTAAAATTTAATAAATCGCAACTGCATGATTGGTCCTTTCCGTAAAACCCCCTTATATGAATTGTACGTAGAGTTAGTACTATATGAGGTTCCTTTATAAAGTCCCAAAAGAATACTAATATTCATATTAACTTTATGCATGTTTTGTGCAATATATTTTATACAATAGAATTACTTGTAAAACCAACATTTTCTAAGGATGCTTTATATTATTAAATCTTTATATTCATGTACAATGTACAATGTAGAGGGAAATGAGGGAAATAAAAAAAAATCAAACTTTCGAAACAAAATAGAAAAAAAAAAAACTTATTTGAGCCATTTTTTATTATGAAACTGTACAGCATCTTTCAAATGCACTAAAATGTATGCGGGTTTGTTTTTATTCCATTGACAAAATCGTAGTATAGACGACTGAACTTTTTACTTCTTTTAATTCAAAAGCTGAAAATAAATCCTCATACCAGCCAGCTGTAATTAAGAGCCTGTTCATCTTATGTTGGGAGTTTTCTTTTCTTTTAGGAAAATGTCAGCTGTTTTTCTGAAAAGTTCTTTAATTACAAAAAAAAAATGAACTGTATATTGAATACTAAGGGAAAACATAATTATATATCAGCCTGTAACGCCTATTTCCGTTACCAACTAGAATAAATAGTTCTAGATAGCACATTTTGTGGCATTCCTAGCGAAAATCCTTCCAAGATAGTATTGAGAAAATACAAAGTGGTGAGCAAACCAGACGTTAGTAACGTAATGTCAGACTAGGGGAGGCCGGGTAAAGTGGAAAACGGGGCAAAATGAAACAATCCCAAATCTGCTGAGTACGGAATATAATAGATTTTCAAGAGTACTACTGTACATAAGCTTTTATTTCCATCTAATAATAATAATGAGTTTAACGATCAGATAAAGATATTGAAGAAGCTCGAAGATCAAGCTTGATTCTTATACGTGCAATAGCAATCCGAAATGTCAATGGTCCTTCAAATGTTCCATTACCATTTAGCGGTGTTCTACCTTAAAAGTAAACAGTGGTGTTCAACTTAAAACACACATTTCACAAGAAACAACAAAACAACACACATTTTTCACCTACAATTAGGTTTTAGCGTCTTCTTCGCGTCAAAGAGAGTCAAAAATGGCTGAAGCAAACTGGGATGACGTAACATACATCAGAAAATCCAAGCCAAAGAGTGGAACTTTAAAAACACAGCAGGTTTAGTAAAAATGTGTTAAAACTAGTAGTAGTTTCGGATGTTGCATCATCCTTATAAAACAAGTTTTAAACTGTATGTTATTCGTTAGACGTGAACTTTTTTGAAAATATTTAATAGAAAAAAATTAACCAAACGAAATTGTTATTTTATGTATTATTAGTTAAGTCTAATTCTTGATATTCAAAAATTAATAATTTTTAGCAAAGTTGGGTCAGCCAGGGTTGTCATTAGAAACTTAGAAAACACTCTTTGTTGTATGTGATATCAAACAAAAATGACCACCTCAAATTCAAAATGGACCAATTCAGAACATTTTTAATGATGGCTCTGAACTTAAGTCCAAAATACTGGTACCCACGGATTTATATTACAGGGATCGGACACTCGGTAGCAAGACACCTCACCCCCCAGACACTTCACCCCTCAAATTTTGAAGACACTTCACCCCTTAAGACACTTCACCCCCCAAAATCAGTAAGACACTTCACCCCTCATCCAATTTTGTTCTATAAAGTAAATAAAACAAGTTGGTCAACAACAAAATGCTTATATATGTTTATATTTATTATTTTTAGTATTATTTGATTAAAAATTTTTCATATTACCTTTATTTTTACTAAGTTTAAAGCTGATTTAGGTAAATTGGTTGTATTGCCAAATGATATATCACAGCACTTTCATCCATTAAGTTTTTATTGCATGTCACCTTGTTTATTCCACATGTTGATTAGTTGTTTATTCAACGGTTATCTCACAATTGATTAGATAATTGAATTAAAATGGTATAATTGTATGAAAATTAAATTTATTCTTAATAAATAAATTAAATAAATAAATAAAATGAATATAAATGAATATGAATGAATGAATCAGTTGCTTTATAAAATATAGTAAATATAAATTATTTATCATCATTATCAGACACAATTATCCTGCATTTAATACAAAGATCATTCATAATGTCATTTATTAAACAAATAAACAGCACCAGTTATGTAAATTAAGCACAAGTTTAAAGCACAAACCATCACCAAATTTACGTAACTCAATGATTATTATATGGTAAGGATCAAACTGAAATCAAACTTAATTAAGTACCAAAACTTCAAGAATTAAATCAACTCAAAATTTATTAGACAATGGCTTAAAACAATAAACATAGTAACATACTCAATCACTATTGAATGTATTTAACATAATCTACATAAATAATTGTTTAACACAAAATTAAAAAAATGAGGGGTGAAGTGTCTCAATCAAATTTCTTAAAATGAGGGGTGAACTGTCTGAGGGGTGAAGTGTCTGCAAAAAAGGGCCTAGGGTGAAGTGTCTGGGGGGTGAAGTGTCTGTAAGCCGGACAATCCCAGTTAACCCTATATAAATGCTTTTATATCTTGTCGCAGGTACACCGATCGATAATTTACCTGCACTAAGCGTAAATGCCAATTTGCAACAGATACCTACTTTACAAAATACCAGATAGCGTTTCCATTTATTATCCAATTTTGGAAGTTTATTTTGAAGAAATAATACAAATATCTTAATTGTTTTTTAAAGATACAGATATCTGTCCGCAATGACAATGACAAAATTAACTTGACCAAGTCCACGGTAAATTTCCATTTTTTATATTAAAAGCATGTACTTTAAATTTATAAATATGGTAACATAATAAATTCAATTTCAAAATAAAAAGAAGCCAATATAAATTATTCACTGATGGTCAAAGATGCAATATTTAAGATTTATTGGGTTATGTAGTCAAATTTATTGACGCACAATTGTTTTACAGGTAATGTATTACGGGCTTTACAATTCGCTCAACGCGTCAAGTAAATTTATTCAATTTTTTAGTACAAAATATTGCTGAAATTGACAATATTTCCATAATCATAGAATATTTAAATTTCCTTCATAATTTATTTCATTATTTTTTTGTTTTCAAATGTCGGTGCTAGGAAGTAATAGTAAAGTACTCTTGAGTGGCTGTGACAGGGTGAGCTTTTGTGATAGCTTTTCGTCCGGCGTCCGTCCGTAAACTTTTACTTTAGAAGACATCTACTCATAAACCACTAAGCCATTTTCATCCAAACTTCACAGGAATGTTCCTTTGGTGGTCACCTTTAAAAATGTTCAAAGAATTCAATTCCATGCAGAACTCTGGTTGCCATGGCAACCAAAAGAAAAAACTTTAAATATCTTCTTTTAAAAAATCATAAGAGCTAGAGCTTAGATATTTGGCATGAAACATCTTCTAGTGAGTGTCTACCAAGTTTGTTCAAATAAAAGCCCTGGGGTCAAAATTGGCCCCGCCCCGGGGGGTCATTGATTTTCCCTATATGCATATAGTAAAAACTTAAAAAATCTGCTTTTAAAGAACCCAAAGAGCTAGAGCTCAGATATTTAGCAAGAAACATGTTCTAATGGGTGTCTACCAGAGCTCCATTACTGGTACTGGTACTGGTACTGCAGTATGTACTGCAGCGATTTTGCAAGAACTGATACTGATACTGAATTACTCTTACAAAATTTTGCTACTACTGGTACTGGTACTGCATTACTGTCTTAAAAAGTGGTACTGCTACTGCATTACCCAGTACTTTTGGTTTTTATAAAAATTAAAAATAACATCAATTTTTCTCATAAAATAAAGCTGTAAATTACATTAACTATATTTTATTTTTGGGAAAAAGTAAGTTATCAAATATAAAGATAATTTGCTGCAATATTCCTTCAAATGTTAACATAGTATTCATCATAAAAAGCACCAAAGACTTTAAGTAAAAATTAAATTAAGACAAACAGACTCAATAACTCTTTAAATACCCTAAAATATCCTTATTAATATCTTTTATTACTTTGTATTTACTAGTAAAAGAGAAAAATAAACACTTATTATTTTCTTCTATTATAAAAAATCCCATTTCAAGTGAAAAGTGATATTGTTAGCACCATAAAAAGTTGTTATTTACTTTGGTATAAATTGAACAGAGGTGTGAAAGGCAACAAAAGACTGTTGTGTTTTAAATGAAAGATGTTTGCATTGTATTTATACTGTTGACTGGTTACTAAACAATTAGATATGACATGAATATATGTTGTAAATATTGTTTGTAAAAAGTATGTTAAAACTATAAAGTTGTAAATATGTTATGTTAACTTTAAAGCAGCACGCCTCCAGATTCATCCTAATTTTCATGAAAATTTTGAAAATGTATTTAAAGGTAAAATATTGTTAAATGAACAAAGAAAGTACTTGACACATTACAATCGGCACTTAAAATCCACGTAAATTACCAAAAAGAGGTCAAAACATGCATAAATAGCCCCTACTGCGTTAGTAACGCAGTAGAAATATGGTGATAAATACTACAAAATACAGTCATTAATTGCACATAAGATATAAATTATCACTTGAATCTTTAATTTGTTTACTTTTCTCAAAGTTTTAGTAATTTTTTTCCAAGTTTAATTTTCTTGAAATATTTTGGGTCATCTGGAGGCATGCAGCTTTAAAGTAAATTATGATTTTATTTCTTTGCTGAATAATAATTGCAATTATTTGTTTGACACTGTATTTATTCAAACTTTGATGAATATATAAAAGTATTGGTACTGATACTTAATTACCTCACCAAAAAAAGTACTGGTACTGCAGTACCGAGCTAAAATCTAGTACTGGTACTGGTAATGGTACTGCATAATTTGCCAAGTACTGGTACTGGTACTTAAGTACTACACCCTTAGTACTGATGCAGCTCTGGTGTCTACCAAGTTTGTTCAAATAAAAGCCCTGGGGTCAAAATTGGACCCACCCCGGGGGGTCATTGATTTTCCCTATATGCATATAGTAAAAACTTAAAAAATCTTCTTTTAAAGAACTCAAAGAGCTATGGCTAAGATATTGAGCATCAAACATGTTCTAATAGGTGTCTACCAAGTTTGTTCAAATAAAAGCCCTGGGGTCAAAATTGGCATCCCCCGGGGGTCATTGATTTTCCTTAAATGTGTATAGCAAAAACTTAAAAAATCTTCTTTGAAAAAACCCAAATAGCTAGAGTTAAGATATTAAGCATGAAACATCTTCTGGTAAGTGTCTACAAAGTTTGTTCAAATAAAAGACCTCGGGTCAAAATTTGCCCTGCCCCGGGGGTCATTGATTTTCTTTATATATGTGTATAGCAAAAACTTAAAATCTTCTTTGAAAAAACCCAAATAGCTAGAGTTTAGATATTAAGCATGAAACATCTTCTAGTAAGTGTCTACAAAGTTTGTTCAAATAAAAGCCCTGGGGTCAAAACTGCCCCAGCCCCAGGGGTGTCATTGTTTTTAACTATATGTGTATAGTAAAAACTTAAAAAAAATCTTCTTTTAAAAAGCCCAATGATCTAGAGCTTAGATGTTTAGCATGAAACATCTTCTTATGGGTGTCTACCAAGTTTGTGCAAATAAAAGCCCTTGGGTTAAATTGGCCCTGCAATGTTGGGGGGGGTGGGGGTTGGGGGGGGCTATATACAGGTGAGCGACCTCAGGGCCATCATGGCCCTCTTGTTAATGTCACTCGTATATGTTAATTCTTTGTTTTATTTGAATGCCTGTAGAAAGATATTTCTGATATTGTTAGCTCACCTGTCACAAATGTCATGGCCCTCTTGTTTAATGTAACGCTAGAAAACAATAAAAAAAATCTTTACAGTTTGAGTCAGTATTATGCGAAATAAAAGTAACTGTTGATAATTTTTACACATCGCTTATATTTCTTATAAGTTTAATTACTTTTGAAAAGGGTTAATTACCAGGTAACAATTGATAATTGAAACACTTTATTTTCAAACTTTCATTACCAGGTTACATGTGATAATTGCAACACTCAGTCTTCAAAAACAGAATTTGAATGTATATTTTGTATGTGCGCGGTCTTTAACTACAGTCCGTGGTATGTGTAATAAGGAAATGATTCTAAAGAGGATATATATAAGTATAATGTAAATCTGTTTTCTTTATTAACATTTATGAAATTGAAAATATACAACTAAATTTGTAAAGAACTTTCTTTGAAAAATAATGAAAATAAACGTAAGACAAATAAATCATTTGACGTGAATTGTTGTCACAGGTTGAGAAAAATGTGCAGCCTGACCGGGACTCGAACCCGGGACCATAACCATTTGGCGTCTCTACCGACTGAGCTATCCGGCCGCTTACACATCTTCTCCCCTAAATAGTGAACAGTTTTGAACCGTAACATTCTCCCCTGCTATATTGAAATTCGTCCTCGAATTTCACAGAGTTACAGAGCAATGTAAATTAAACTCTGAGCTATATCAGTCACTGTCCCCCCTTGGGCGCCAAATGTCACAGGGTGAGAAAAATCTGCAGCTTGACCGGGACTCGAACCCGGGAGCCTCCGAATTACGTACAGCGGCTCCACCGACTGAGCTATCCGGCAGCTTACACCCTATTTCCTCAAAATAGTGAACAGTTCTAAACAGTGACATTGTGAAGGATAACTATGAAAAAAATCTGTTTCAAAATAAAAAATATTAAACAGCTATTCTGTATGCCAATACAAGTTTTTTCCTTGCCAATCTAATGAATTCATCCATATATGAATGCTTGTCTTGAATGTCTGAAAATAATAAGTAGAATATTTACTATATTAATACTAATATTCAGGTAATAGAATAAAAAATGTACAAATCATATGGAAATAATTCACAGAAATAAAGACAAATTTTAAACATGAATTTCTTTAAAAGTTTTAAAGCAATTAAGAAATTTTTTTTTGCAATGCAACCATTAAACCATGTAAAAAAATAATGATTTAAATCTGAGTCGAGGTAAAAATTTGTGAATTTAAAGGGCGTCAAGTGTAGAGAGTATACCTAAACAATAGGCGAACATTTTTTTAAATTAGGTACCTTTTTTACTCAGCGTTGCAGCATTCTATTGGCATATTTTCATATATTAATACCTTAGCTGCACAAAATAATAATGTATCAATACATTCATATGTGTATAATTTTGCACAAAGCTGCAATAACACCACATACTCTTGTGAAAATCTGCCATATGTTGCTCTCCGCGCATTCCGCCATCTTTCATTCTTTCCACCTTCATCCGATGTGCGATTCTGCGCATGCGCGCGACACGATTTTAATTTTAAAGATAGTGTACGATCCTTGTAAAATAAATCCGTGTGGTAACCCATCTTTTTACCTCCTGGGCATCTTCCACTACACTGTGTACTGTTGGTCTGGCCCAACAAATTTTGCACCAGAGCTTTTTATTACATGTGAGACCTTTTAAAGACTGATATCAATGTAATATCAGTTTGTAAAATTGGTCGGTCTTGCAGTCAAAATATTGCGACCAATTTTCAATCATTTTAACTTTGAACTCTGGAGAGATTAATCAGTATCATATTCTTAGTGATCTCATTTATCACTTGAAAGCAAAGGTGCTAAACTGATTTGATTTAGATCTGATTATTAATCTGTCCTATAATAGGAATAGTATTTCATAATTTCAGATTATTAACTTGTAATGCATTAAAGTGACTTTATTCTCATGATTCAAGATGTATATAATGAATGTACAGGTTAAAGTCACAATAACTGTACATTTTGCTATAATTCCTTTCAGTTTAATAATTTACTTTACATAAACAACAAATAACTTATGTGGTACAACATAACAAGAAATTTTCTGAAAATTTCCATAGACTGCTAGGCATTTACCATTAATGTTCTATTCATAAAAAGAGTGGGAAAGTCCTTGTATTTGAGGCTGGTTTATATTTACTCCTACATTGTAAACATTTTCTAGTAATAAGTATCAACTGTTGTTCAATCACCATTATAACAGTCAATCTTTTGAAATATTAAGTAAATTCAGCCCAACTTGACAATGAAAAAAATTGCATTTAGGGTAAATGTCACTGCAACTATCATGACTATCATTCAATGATAAATTATTTTTAATCATTTTTTATCATTCTGATATAAAAAAATATTACTGAAAACTCAATGTTGTATCCTTTATCCTATATGATCATTCATTTTTTTTGCTCTAGAGAAATTTAAAATTCTATAATATATACATACAGAACATGTAGATCTATATAATAAACATATAAATGAAATACTTTTAAAATATTATTTAAAATGCATGCATATTTTCATTTCAGTATTTTCACTGTAAAAATTTAATTTGCTCTGCAACAAAACTTGTTTTCAGTATTTTCACTGGTGTATAACATTGATTCATATACAGTACACTAGTGTTTAAATTTTTTTTCAGGCTTTAAACTCTGCACAAAGACAGGGTGTGGCAATTGATACTGAAAAAAAATGTAAGTCATATATAGAACATTTATGATTATCATGTTTGTATCTTAGTCACATTTTTATTAGAACATACATTCACAATTTATATTACAGGGTATTTGATAGTTTATAAAAGTTAATACTACAAGGTACAAGTATTAATTTAAATTTGAAAGCTTGAGGCTTATTTTAACATGAATTAATTTGAAATATGATCAAGACCAAAGGAGGGCTCGGACCAAGGTTTTAACTTCTTTCAACTGATTTTAGTCAAATAAAATAGTGTTCTCTTACTCATGTCATCATATTATGATGTGACAATGTTTTCTGTAAAAATGCTAGAATCTTTTCTTGCAATTAATAATAATTTTATGAGGCGTTTACTACGCTCGCAAGCAACTGGGCTGACGATGAGCCCGGAGCGGTACCTATATAGGTCGAAGTTGTTTTTGCCTGGAAATGAGTATTTTAATTAATAACAAATTTATTACGTCCAAAGTATGGTAGAAGAGTGATTACATGCATTATAACAAATGTTGTAAACATATAATAATTTTAACACAAAAAAGTTTATAATACATGATATCAGTTAATACATAATGATACTGTCAAGTTGCATGTATCTTATATCATGTTAACTGATCGGTACTTATTTAAAATAATACAAGGCGGAATGGGGAATTAAGCTTTGCATATGAGAGGTACCATTTATATGAAAAGAACTATAGATTAACACAAAAATAGATTTCTATAGTGACTTAAAAATTGATAGCAACATTTCTTTTTGTGCTCCCACTTTAGTGGCGGGCATTTAGATTTACCCTTGTCCGTTCCTCCATCCATCCTTCCGCACTCACAGGACAGTAATTATGTGGCTAGATGGACAATAGGTAACTGTTAGAACTTCCATCCTTCCGTCCGTCCGTTCTCTTTTGTGTCGCATGTAACTAAAAAAGTATTTGACCTAGAGTCATGAAACTTTAGAGGAATGTTGATCAGCATGTGTAGTTGTGCACCTGGGTATTTTTGTCTGGATATTTTTAGTATTTTGAGAGTAATTGCCCTTGACTTTGTAAAATTTTGCAATTTTCAACTTGTGTCGCATGTACTTCAAAAAGCAATTGACCTAGAGTCATGAAACTTTACAGGAATGTTGATCAGCATGTGTAGTTGGCTCCAAAATTTCCTTATTTTAAAACTTGTCTTCATTTGTGGTAACATACGATTGGTTCTTTATTAATCTTTGTGATGATTAGTCCAGAAATCAAGATTGTCACAAAGTTGAAGAGTGGGAGGTGCCATCTGGACTGAGAAATCTTTCAGCTTTGGTGTTTTTCTAGTAATTTATGTTAATGCTAAACAAGGTGATAACCTATCAACTTATTAAAAGCCAACAAGTTTTCACAATGACAAACATCCTTTACAGAATAAAAGGTTCTAATGGAAGCCATTTGCCAAAAATAACAATTGCAAATGTTTAGAATTCTAAAGCTAATTTAAGAAAATTTATAATTAAATAACACCAAATGCCATTGAAAAAGACCATGATGAGGGATTATTGGGCAGTCACTTGAGAAAGAAGCTCATCACCGATTGTTCTACTCAGGTGCTCGTTGGTGCCTGAAATGATGTACAGAAGATCTCCTGAGGTCTTTCTTCACCAGTTAAGCTTAAAAGTAGCCATAATCACCTATAGATACTATGTTTGCGTGATATAAAACCTAATAAAAGATAGGTAAAAATAAAACTATTAGTCAACCAGGAATGCTGGATAAGTGGATTAATTACTTAGTCCAAAAATGCATTAAAAAACAATCTTCTTTATTTTAAATTTTCATCTTTCCACTCCAAAAAATGGTAAGAAAAGACAGTTCCAAACAATAGACGCTGTAACTTTCCTATATACAGGGTGATCCAAAATATCTGATACTGTTTTGAAGTTGAATAAATAAGTCATTCCTGATGCAATTATCAAGTCCTATATACCATTGTAAAGAAAATTGTCATACGTTTCTGTCATAATTAATCTACGGGAAACGTTGACGTCATGACGTCATAAAATAATAGTTGTTTTTCAATATGGCGACGTCAAAACAGAAAGGTGCAGAAATAGTTAAACTTTATTTTGAGACTAAGTCTCCAGTTACTGTTATTCGCATGATGCAGAAAAAATATCCTGATGATGACAGACTCACAAAACTTCAAGTGCATAGGCTTGTAAATAGATTTAAACAGACTGGGTCAGTTGAGGATAGCCGACATAACAACAGTGGACGACCAAGATCAAGCCGCAGCATAGAGAACGTTGCAGAGATCCAACAAGTGATTCAGGAGACACCACAAAAATTTGTAAGAAAAGTTCTTGGAGACATCACCAATAAGTCTAGTTATGGAAGTTTACATAGGGCCTTGCGTTTTGATTTGAATTAGTTTCCCTATTCGCTATCCATTATGCAACATTTAAAAGAAACAAACATAAACAGCAGATTAGAGTTGGCTCGTTGGATGATTGATAATAAGAACACAATTGAAAAAATATGGTTTTCAGACGAATCACATTTTTCTCTAAGTGGCCGGGTAAACAAGCAGAACTGTCGAGTATGGAGTAAAGAGAAACCAAGATTCTACTTAGGAAAACCATGATGACAAGGTTACGGTATGGGCAGCGTTACGTTCGACTGGTGTGATTGAACCATTCTTTTTTTAATCGAAAGGTGAAACCAAAACAATAAATAGTGAGAGATATTTTTCTCTCTTGAAGACAAAATTTCTTCCAGCCTTACGAAGAAAAGGTATTAACATTATGATTAATACAATATGGTTTCAGCAAGATGGAGCGGCACCACACACTGCGGGACACGTGTTGGAATGGTTGAAAGAAACATTTGGCAGAAAATTTATCTCGTTTAAATCAGACAAAATTTGGCCTCCACACTCACCTGATCTAAGTCCGTTAGATTTCTTTCTATGGGGACACTTAAAAGACAATGTTTACAATCCAAAGCCAGACACCCTTGAGCAGCTAAAGTCAGCCATTCGCAGAGAAATAAGAAAAATTACACCTGCAATGTGTGTTAACGCTATTGAAAATTTTAAAAAGAGACTTGACGTCGTAGTAGCACAAAATGGACGTCATATTGAACATTTGATGTAAATTTTGTTTGGTAAAATTCATTTTTATTTTTTTATTAAACAGAATGACTTTAATGTTAAATAAAACTTTAAAATCTCTAGTTTAAATATGTGTGTTGATATCTAAAATCGTGTGATGTGTGTAAAACATACAAGACACGGAAATGGTATCAGATATTTTGGATCACCCTGTACAAGTCATGTATCTTATATTATTGTTTCTTGTCATTGTATACAGTTTATAGTTATACATGAAATGACATTGTAAGATGCTGTTTGGGATGCCCTCGACCCTTCAGCATCATTTGACGAGGACAATACATGTAATAATAAAAAAAAAACAATTGACGCTGGTTTAGTTTACATTTTTGTTACTTTATTGTAGTTGCAGGAGGTCTGAACAAACAACATGCAGCCACTAAAAACACCGCTAAACTCGATAGAGAGACTGAGGAACTGCATCACGAGCATGTGGCCCTCGATGTGTGTAAACTCATTCAACAATCAAGACAGGCAAAGGGCTGGACACAGAAAGAGTTAGCTACTGTATGTCATATTAAATTAACCCTTGACCTGCTGTATTTCTATAATGGATCTGCCCAGCTTTGAAGTTGAAACAGTCCATTCAAAGTTCAAGGGATTTCAATATAAAAAAAAAACAAAAATTGAGCTGCTAACAGTATAGAGCCTGGTCAGACTGCAGGGATGTGCAGGCTGGCCTGGCTCTATACTGGTGGCAAAGGCTAATCATTTTTGGTTCCAGCAGGTTAAGGGTTTAAAGTAAAACCAGGGTATTTTATTATTAATCTGTACTACATTGATACACAGTAAAGTAAGAGGATATTTAGTAAGGGTAGGTTTAAAACTGGATTTATTGAACATTGAATGAATAAAATTATATTACCTGAGTTTAATGAACTTGGTACTGAACCTACATGAATATAATATTCTATTTATCAGATATACCCAAAATAATTTATCAAAATGATACATTTTTAGCTCGACTATTCGATAAAAATAAGTAGAGCTATTGATTTTAGCTCGACTATTCAATAAGAATAAGTAGAGCTATTGTAGTCACCCGAGCGTCGGTGTCGGCGTAACCACTTATGTTAAAGTCTTTGTAATACCTCAAATATTTTCAAAGTCCATTGACATATGGCCTTGAAACTGTGCACACTTGTTCACCATCATGACCCCAACCTGTGAACAGGAGGAGGTAACTGTATCAAGCATTTTGACAGAATTATGCCCCATTTTCGACTTAGAATTTACGTTAAAGTTTTTGTAATACCTCAAATATTTTCAAAGTCCATCGACATATGGCTTTGCAACAAGTTGAAATTTTATACTCTTCAGGACTTTCTCCAAGGCCTATAACTGCAATATGGATTTAAAGAAAAATTTTGCCCTTTTCTTTACTTAGAGAATTTTACATTATCAAGGCTTTTTTTTACTATCAATCACTAAGAATAGTCGAGCGTTGCTGTCCTACTGATAGCTCTTGTTTCATCAGGGCACCTCTGCTACATCATGTCATATATATTTACATAATATTATAGTGCAATGCCATTTTTACGAAGTCTCAAAAGCAGCATGGGTATTTGTAAAATTACTTTTCCAGTACTTTGTTAGAAGAAAGAGTTTGTAAGCGAACAGCATGGATCCTGATCAGACTGCGCGGATGCGCAGGCTGGTCTGGATCCATGCTGGTCGCAAACCCATTATGTTCGTTTTGTCATGACACGGCTCATAAATCAAGGAGTTTATATATTAGTTTGGAAAGAGGAATTAAATCCCTCGAAAAAATGTTACACATATATAACTTTGTGCAGGAAATAGTTCTAAATATTTTTTTTCCACAGATTAACCCTTTCACTGCCATAGTGACAGCTTATGCCGTCCCTGTTATTTTCGGCGTACTTGCCATATGGACGGCTTTAGCCTTTCTATAATAATAATAGTAATTATAATAAATTAATAATAATAATAATAAAAATAATTATAAATATAAAGAAAATTATACCATCAACAATAATTATTATTTTACTCACAGATTTGGAAACATATAGAATCATTATAATACTAATAACAAATAATTATAATTATATTAATTAATAATATAGTAATTTCTTAGAAAACCCTCTGGCAAATAGATGATCAATAAAACAATAACCCTCTGGCAGCGAAAGGGTTAAAGTGTTCGAAAAATATTCATGTCTTTATCATAAAAGTTGAAAAAGTGAAGAAAAGAATTAAAACAACAAAAAATTAACAAAAAAAGGAAAATTGATATAAATTATTATCTTTTGAGCATGAAAATGTTTATATATAAAATACAAGTTTGTTATACATAGATTCCTGACCTGTCCAATTCTAATTATCAGATTAGTGGATACAATTAGAATATCACCACAACATATCGATGGCTCAACGCAAAACTCATCTAAGTCTATATTTCACCAAAATGGACTTTTTTATAAATTCTGAAAGCTAATCAAACACCCCTTTATCCCTCAAAATATTTTGAACATATTTCCTGTATTAGTGATTATATTTAAATTTCAAGTAAACATGCTAAGTCAAACTGATCAAATTAGTTACTGCAAAACTAGGTTAAGTCAACTTAGTATGTGTTTTGCACAAATTTTTTTTTTCAACCAACAAAAAATCAGCAGTGCAAAACAAGTCTAACTTAAATTAGCATAGTTTTGCATTAAGTAATTTTAGGAAGTTATAGTATGCAGTTCTTTAATTTATCTTTTTAATTTTACAACATAGAATATAATAATATTCCTTTAAAATTACATGTGTACCTCCCTGCTTTGACCTTGAAGCAGTTTTGATGACCCTAATTGATTAATTTTTTACAGACCCTTACCCTAGTTATGGAAAATAAGAAATTTAAATTTATGTTTAAAGCTTGACTTCAAATGATATTGCATAAAGTTAAAGCTCTTTCATCAAGAATATCACTTTTTAAGTTTTTAACAAAGTGAAGAATCTAAAATTAAAGGGTCTGGACTCATGTACAATGTAGGAGGATATATATTACTATAAACAATTATTGACTACTGTGCCATTAAATATGATGTGATATTCACCGGCAGATGACAAATTGACAGAGGCCATAGCCGAGGTCAATATGTCTTTCTGCTAGTGAATATCACATCATATTCAATAGCACTCTAGTCAATAATTGTTTTATTCTTGCATCTCAGACAGGATTATCTACCGTTTACACCTGAGTGCTAGAAAACTATGTCTTACATCTCCCATGTAAGACAAGTCGCATGCTTTATATGATGTCATTGACGTGCACCTTTTATGAATGAATCACGTTCATAGGATGACGTCATTTTTCCGTTATGAATGAAGTTGTAAGTTCATACGCTACTATAAGAAAAAAGTGCTTAATGAGAATCTCAGTTTTCATAATTTCTGTTCCGAAAATAATGACATGTAGTATGCAAGAAAAAGAATCAAACACCGGCTTGTGGTACAGACGGGAATATCTAGCTCTCGGGTAACTGTTTAGCGGAAACTCAGCAGAGCCTTGTTACTGCTGTAGACAATTACCCTCGAGCTAGATATTCCGGTCTGTACCGGCAGCAGTAGTAAGATTCTTATATTATATGAATAGGTTACAAGAATTTCTTTTAAAAATTCACAGAAAGTACAACATTATATATGTTAAACTTTTGCCTGTTTTGTTTAAGCGTGTGCAACAACTACTAGAACGCTGTGCATTAAAAGTAATTCAAGTTTATACTCATCATTGCCGTGTAACTCTTAACTATAAAAGTATAGTATAATAGTAATTAAAAGTAATGATGGTTTAATCGAGAAATATACCATAAAGAACAAAACACAGCGATTATTTTTAATAAGGCCTGTAAATAACAGGCTATGAAATATGGTCATTGAATATGAGTCTCAATCTATCTTAAAACTGGGAAAATCCAATTCAGCCAGTGAATATGATACTATACCCAGTGAATATGAGCAGATTACATATTGACCAAGGCAACAGACAAGGTCACTATGATTTTCTGCCAGTGAACAATGGCTCACTAGTCTATATTTGTTTCATTACAATGATAGCCAAAGACTATAAAAACTAAAGCCTAGTAAGGAAACACAAAACATAACTTTTTGCATATTTTCATTAAAGCATGGAAAAGACGCACTGTAAACAAGAAGTCAGGCATTCATCAAAAATGTGAATGCAACACAAACAAAAATTATTCAAGTTATACACATCATTGCTGTGCAATGTCTAACTATTAAAGTAAAGTAAATGATATTTTAATTGAAAAATATGACATAAAGACAAAATGCAACAATTATTTTTTCAGGAGCATACATTATTAACAATCTACATATGGTCATTGAATATGAGTCTCATTCTATTTTTAGATTGGGAAAGTACAATTCAGCCAGTGAATATGATTTTATAAATAGTTCCGACTACTGTTTTGACCAATAAGATTACAGCTATATTTAGATCAAATAATGATAGACAATAAAACAAATTATGTAGATATTACCTTTAACATCATAACATAATTATTGCTTTATGTCTGTAAATATTGCAATATATCACAATAAAGTTTTCATTCCAATACCCATTCCTGATTATGTGTAAATTGAACACAAAATAATAAATCATTTCTTATTATGTGAAAGCTTTGACATCACAATATTAACATTAAGTATTATTTTATAATGAACTAAAGAATAGCCTGGTAATTTGTTGATATTGAAAATGGTAAATGGTTTATTTCTTATTAATAAACTATTTTACAGACTTCGTTAAAATTAGTGCTTATTAATATAAATTACACACATACTGATGAATTTTATTTATCAAAAGTAGGGCTATAAATAAAAGATACTGACAGACAATTATAATTCAGGCATTACTTGTAAGGGCTCTCTTATATGTTACCATTTAAAGATCACTAGATCATGATTCCAACCTATATGAATAAAATTATATAACACTTTAAATTTATGCGTTAAATATTTCAAAATATTTTGTTCTTCTTATTTCCTTTTCTTTTTTACAAATTACATGTCTCTATTCTCAATCATTAATTTTCAGCTGGAAGTTGGAATGTAAACTCAATAAACAATTGTTAAATGATTTACTATGTAAAAATCATTTTTATTTTTTAATTTAAAATATTTTCAAACAATATTGTTGTTATCTATCAGTACTAGACAAGCTTTGTACATTATTAGTATATTTTTGGAATATAATATTGAAAAATATCAGTTAGATATGTCACATTATGTTCAAAACATTAAAACTACATTTGAAACTTAATTTCTAGCAATGTAGTGAATAATGAAACTTTTTCTTGTTGTCTCATCCAAGTGACCATTTTCATTTACATTAAATTTTGCCAACACATCAGTTTGATCTATGAGTTGAACCACAGCCGAATTTTATTATTCACTGTAAGCTTGGCTGAAGGTTTTTCAATTATTGTTTTTTTTTCATCATTTTAACTAAAGTATTTTCATCCCAGAATGAAAAT